AGCACCAGAGCCGTTTCAGTGTTGCAGCTTAAGAAGGATGGGGTGAAGAGCTCAAGAAGCAGAAAAGCAGTGTGATGGAAGATTTCACTCAATACAGAGAGGTTAACACTTGTAGCTGTGGCCATAGGGAACATGCTCAATAGCTGAGTAGTCATTGTGCTTACAGAAGGAACTAAAACAAGTTCCAGTGACCAGAGGCTGTAATAAGGCCAAATTCAGAGCACTTACACCCCACCTCCCAGTGACTGCTCCAGGCAAGGACTTTCCCTGGTCTGTGGGAGCTGACTGGAGGAGCCTGCCTATGGTCCCATTACCATGTGGGAGAGGGGGACATATTTGAGCTTGGATCCATATCATGTGCTTTCACAACATAGGTTCAAGGCAATTTCTTTACTGGGGCATTAGTTGCGTGGGGCTGGATACTAAGCAGACAAAACAGCACTAATAAACAAACAAGTTTTGCATTCTCTGCAACAATGCTGTGTGGACGCTGAGGAGGCACTTGGTAGCGTTCCACCATGAAAGCCACTGTCTCTTTCTCTCCTGGGACCTTTCAGCCCATGGAAAACACAGACCAGTTGGCTCACTAAGCTGTTCCCCACCTCCTGGCGCAGTTCTCTGAGGCTTTGCTCTGTGGCAGAACTGTGGGTATTCCTGCAAGTGCAGCAGTAGAAGAGGTGCGAGCTTTGCCTCCATAAATGCTATTGTCTCTGTTCGTTCAGTGTTTTTGAGAGCAGGTTTAGTGCAGAAGGTAAGGGACTTGCTGGAAAATGGCCGGTGAGTGTGAAATTAAGGCAAGCTTGCAAGTTTTTGGGCTATCAGTTTTGTTTGGTGAAAGCAAGACAAATAGCTATGCAGAGTTTGCTCTTGTAATTTCTTCCCCCCGCCCGGATTCCCAGCCTGAAAGCATATACTTCTGAAGATGAGTACTGAACTGGGAGGGGAAAATAAGAGCCTAACATTTCCAAGCCAAGCCTTTGCTAGCTTAGCCTTTGTTAACCCACAGGCACGACCACTGAGCAGTTGCATGCTGCAGGCAATGTAATTCTTTTTCTCTCCAAGTTATAACTCACTCGTTTCTTATATCATCAAGTAATACTGTGAACAGGTCCAAACACCCTCAGCTTCTTTAGCAGCTCCTTATTCCACAGGCTTCCAGTGAAGTATTGGTTTTGGTATGTTGTGGACATCGCTGAAAGACAAGTTTGTCCTACATTGAAGCTTGATCAATTTGTAGAGCAACTCTGTTCTTAAAGCATGTATTGTGACGCAGAGCCATGGGAAAGTGGAAAGCACATAGGGCACAGGCAAGTAAACAAGATTTGATACACAGCGTTCTGGAGAACATGCACGCAGATAAATTGTTCGCATAGTTCAGACTCTAGCTGACACCCACTCCACACACGGCTTCAGATCTAATGGAGATAAAGTTTGTTCATGAAAAAAAAAATCAGAAAGGCAAATCTGCCTTCTATCTGTCCAGGATGTAACTAAGGATGTAGTTACATGGATGTGGGATTAAATGGACTGTTGTAGATGGAAAAAGGCTAACACATAACTATCTTCACTTGATAGTCCCAGGTGGAGTTTGCTTAAAAAAAAAAGTGTTTTCACAGGACTAAAGAATGGAAGAACTTCTGGTGCGGACATTGGTGTTGGTAGCTGGACACACGGAACATGGAGCAGCACTACTGGACTCAGAGTCTCTACACCGTGAGAGAAGCAGCATCTCATGGGATTGCTGTTAGGACTGCCAGAGAAATATGCAAAACCTCTCGTTTGGAAAAGGAGGCTGGCGTCTGGCCTGTGGCCCTTGAGAGGTTACCAACCCCTGTTGGTCTTCGGTGCGGTCTTCGCTTATTGTCTTCCTGTCTGTGGGTTGAGAGCCCTGCGTATCCCAGGAATCATACTTCTTGTAGAGCTTTATAAGAGAGCAGCCCTGCTCTTGGCCTCGGTTTTTGACAGGCCATCCCTGAGGATGGTTACAATACATCCCCATTTCCCAATTTGACCTCACGTTTGAGCTCACCAGCCTGGCTGCCTGAGCTTTGACAGATGGATTTCAGCAGTGGGGGTGGAGGATGATGAAATAATACTCTAAGGAATTGAAAGCCAGTACTCTGATCGGGTTTTTTTAGGTTTTCTTTTCTTAGACCAAGAAGGTGAAAAGCTGTGTGTTTTGCATAGCAAGCCTACTTTTGTCTGATGTGCTTGCCAGAGATTTGGATATTCCCCCAAGCTCAATCTTTCCTGAACATAGAGTACTACAGCCACGTTCTCCACAATTGCCAGCCTAGTTCCTTAAAAGCAATGAAAGCTGTCTTTTTCTGATTGTGGGAGTCTTGCTGTCCCTTGTGGCTCTTGGTTTCATAGTAATATTACATGGAGGAGGTTGAAGGAAAATGTTTGCTGTCTCCAGAATTTCCCTTTAGGACCTTATTAACAAAAAAAGCCTTGTAGTTGCACACAAGCAGCTTCTTCTAAGCAGTATGCCTGAAGGGCTTGAAAGGGGAAGGCTAAAATGAAGCTGTTGCTATGTATGCTGCATATCAGTGCTTCAGGACTGATACTTGTTCCTGTAAGAATGTCCCGTTGGTGATCTTGTGGGCACAGAGTTGCTACTTGCCTGCTGTGCACCCAGACCTATAGCCCACCTCTCTGGGATTGCCTGGAATTAATGAGGGCTGCCCAGGAATATGGCAATACCTTGGCTGATCCCTTTCTCAGTGCCTGTAATTGTTCAACAGATCTCCTTTGATCCTAGGCTCAGTTTGGGCAACACTGAAATGTTTTGCTGTAGAGGCAAGGTTGTACCCTGGACTAACAACATCCCTTGTGTTTCTTCAAGGGCTTTTCAAACCTTGTGTTATTGTTGCATTTTTCTCTCCTAGGTGCTTTGATAACCAATGTCTTGCACGTAAATCCAGAGAGAGTAACTTGTCAGGAAGTGTTGCCAATAAAGAAACGCAGCTGCTGCTGAGCCTTGTACAGGGAATCCTTGCAGCTTTTTGCTGTAATGCATGGAGGGGTACAAGGTAGGTGTGAAACCTGTTGACACCCTTTCCTGTAACTTAAAGCAAATATCTTCTGGTCTCTGTGTATTCAGTGTCAGTGCTAGCTTCTGAGCTTTGTGATATTGTTAACAAAAGCTTTTTTTATAACTGAGCTTAATTTTTGATAAGAGCTGTGCAAAAGCAGTCTATGATGTAAGAAGCAATATGGCCATCTCCCCTTGAACTGTCAGGGTTAATATTTAACTGCTCCCCATGAGTTAAAATAGCCCTTTGCAGTAGCATGTAAAGCTGCAGCTGGGGTACGGGTAAGCGTTTCTCTGGCTGTGGTGTTCATCTCTGCTACTCTTTCCATCTGCTGGTGGCAAGATGTATTCTGGACTGCCAAAGATCGATCTCCAGGCAGACTGCTGATTTTCATGGAGACGATGAGATGCGTATTGCGGAACTTGGGATGGGGAGAGAGATCAGGTGCTGCCTGTCAATGAGAACCAACATATCCCAGGTCTGAATATGCTCATGGCTCAAATCAAGTGTAGTGCAAACCCCTAGGGTTGCCACAGGGATTCGTTACCCTTGTAGCGTTTTGTGTGCATCTGGCATTAGTGAAGCTTTGTTTTAACTGACACTGTTGATGAGCAAAGCCTGGTTGTACTGTGCAAAACCCAAATGACCAGGGTCCCACTAAGGGCAGTAGCGTAGGAGGCAGTTATCTGTCTGTCCATGACGGCATGATTCATAACTTGAAATTTATTTTGGTGTTACGTGGAATAACAATTCAGATATATTAGATGCTTCCTTGAAACGAACTGAATTTCAAGGAGCTGTACAGTGAGAGCCTGCAAGGTGATCTAGTTTTAAATTCTACAACTTGCTACAGACTCAAATCCATCCAGGTCCTGTTTTAGTGGTGAACTGGCATAGCTATCATTTCTTGGCTGCTCAGTGATCCCTATGAAATGATCAGATGGTTCAAAAGCCAAAAGTAAAAGACCAGTCCTAGTGTTGATACTGGAGGCAGCTTGACTGAGAGCTCAAAAAGAATAGCAGCTGAAGAGTGTGCATTGCTGCTATCTGTACAAGCAGGTCAGAGCTGAAGTGGCAAACTCTTGATTCAGCTTGGGAACCTGAGCCGCAGGCAGGCCTGTGTAACAAGTTTGTCAGCAATAGCGCGGTTAGATTGTGGTGGAACTGACATCTTTCAGACAAGTGAAATGCTGGATTGAAGTTTTTCCAGTTGCCATAAAGGCAGGTCAGCTTTATTAAAGAGGGAGGAGACTGTCTGACTCTAAGCCCTGTCCTCTACTGCTTTACACCAGCACTAATCTGCCTTTAAACACAAACTCCTCTGTTCTGTAGTGGATTTGCAACAAGTCTTACTTTGGCTTATCAAAGCAATCACGAGGTAAAATGGATGTGTATCTAGCCATCAGCTTTTGGGGGCAGGGATTGCTCCTGGACTGGAGCTACAAGCAATTACTGCCTGAAGAGGGGAAATAAAGATCTGTTTATGGTTATGCCTAAAATCTTACCTGAGCCCTTGGGCAGCTGGTGATCTGAAAGCTCATTTCTTTGACTGTAACTTCGATAATTCACACAAATGTTCCCAGTGATGCTTCCACCAGATTAGAGGTAAAGGGTTTCCTTCTTACTCTGGACTAACCTCATTAAGGAAAATATAGGAAACTTCCATTGTTTGCAGCAAAAATTGTTTCTTTCTCCGTTCTGTGTTGCAGTGAGCTTAGGGTGATAGATGGGAACAGTGCAAAGATGCTGTCTTGTCTGAGAAATTGCAGAGTGTCTGGGAATGTTGGGAGAGAGGGTGTGCATGTTCTTGTTGGGGAATCCAGAGCAGACCA